CTGTACGGAGCATCCGCTGGCACTTATCCAAGAAACCCTGGGCATCCTCGCCCTCTGCTCCGCTAAATGTCGGAGGCTGGAGTCTACCAAACCTCTCAAGACGACGCTGCTCATCATCCGGCATAACTGGCACAACAAACTCCTAAGCTGGTGCAACCGGCTGGGCTGGAGGTGCCCCCGGCGTCTGAAGTCCCTGCACTACCTGCTCATGTGTGCGAGCAGCGAGGGTCTGATTGCCTCCCCTGGCCTGTGAAGTAGCTGCTGCTGTAGTGGCTGAAACTGCTTGAGCCAGGCCAGTGCAAACTGATAAGATCTGTGAAGGCCTCCTGAAGACCCGGAATCACGATAGGCACAGCTGGTGCCTAAACTGGTGTTGTCGGAGCATCTATAGCTGGAGCCTGATCCGGAGCTAGGGCAGCTGGTGGATCTACAGGTGCTACCCTCGCTGCTCTGCCTCTACCGCGACCACAACCGCGTCCACGGCCTCTGGTGGTCTCAGCTGGTGGCACTGGTGGTCGTCCACCTCGTCCGGTAGCTCGCGTCCTCACCATCTGTGAGAGAATGGAATAATAGAAGTTTAGTACTTGGACCAACAAGTTCGCACGACAAGAATTTCAAGAATATGAAGTTTTTCCTAAAGGTTCTGCAGTCTCTCAAGGATAAATACAGACGTCTCCGTACCGATCCGCTAGACTCTACTAAACCTGCTCATGACTCGTGAGATCTAAGTAACCTAGGCTCTGATACCAAACTGTCACGACCTAATTCCCCGAACCCGGTCATGATGGTGCCTCTCGCGAAGACAAGGCCAGCCAGACCAAAACAGGCCACCTCTTTTAAACAGTTAAATACCATAAGTAGTTATAAAACGTGATATAATAAACATAATTTGCGGAATTAACAATAACAACAGTAGAAACTATCCTGACACAACCCAAACCAGGGTGTCACAAGTCATGAGCAACTAATAGTTCCAAATACCAGTCTACTAGATATGAAATCCATTACAAAAGATCAAGAACATGAAAATAGTAAGATAAGGGAAGCACGGGGGCTGCGGACGCCAACAGCTACTTCGTAGTCTCCGAAAACACCTCCTGGACTGGGAGGATCAGCACTCAGGAGCGGACTTTGCGACGCCTGAATCTTCATACACAATGTAGGTAGTAATGCGAGTACTCCGACTCAGTGAGTAATAATCATAAATAATGGCTGAAAGCAAGAAAACACGTAAAGGCACAAAGCAATTCTATATCAAGTAGTAAAATCACTTAAGGCAGTAAATCCATGAAGAAATCAAATGAAGTTCCTTTAAACCAAGTAAAACAAGTAATTTAAACCAATAAAAAGTATCTTAGGCCCTCGTCCTCATATCACTCAGCATATCCTCACATATGGCCTTCGGCCTCACTCAGGCCGAAAATCATCACAAGCCCCTCGGGCATTAGTAAAACAGTAGTTCTCAGCCCAAAACATCAATTAGAAATATCATTTAATTTCAAGTACGAATAAAAGTGGTTGAGTTTGTAAAACAATAATATCAACAGGACTGAGTTCAAGTAATAAATCAAATAGTGAGGAATTAGTGATAAAAATCCCCAGAGGGTTCAAATAGTTGGCACGAAGCCCAAATATGGCAATCAGCCCAAATAATGACGATAACAAATAAGTTTCAGTCAAATACGCGGTAAAATCATCAATCGGGATGGACCAAGTCACAATCCCCAGTAGTAAAAGACCCCACGCTCATCATCCAGCGCGTGTCTCACCTCAATACAGCACTACGATGTGCAATTCGAGGTTTCAAATCCTCAGGACATCATTTACAACCATTACTCACATCGAACAGGCTAATTCTCTAACTCGTGACGCCTTTGCTCCTCGAATTGGACTCCACGCGCGTCGAATCTATCCAAAATCAGAACGAATACGTCACAATATGCTAAGGGAACAAAGCCCAAGCAAAAACAATCGAATTATCACAAAATTCCAGAAATTAGTCAAACCCAACCCCGGGCCCACATCTCGGAAAAAATTCACAAACTAGAATCCTTATACTCTCACGAGTCTATCTATACGAAAATTATCCAATTTCGATACCATTTGGTCTTCAAATCATCATTTTATATTTTTGAAAGATTTCACAATTTTTCTTCTCAAATTCTATCCCAAATCACGAATTAAATGATGAATTCAATGATAGATTCATGTACTCTAGCCAAATCTGAGTTAGAATCACTTACCCCAATGAATTTCTTGAAAAACCTTCGAAATATCGTCAAAATCCGAGCTCTCTAGGTTAAAATATCAAATAAAACCCAAAACCTCGTATTTATAGAGTACCCCATAGATATCCACCTCCGCGTGCCGCACAAAATCAACCGCGGTTCGCACAAAACTAGTGCGGTCCGCACAAAAATGGCCGTGGCCACACAAGTTTTCCTCTGCAGTGACATGCTTTAGTATATTGACCATAACTTTCGCTACAGATGTCCAAATTGTGGTATTTTTACTTTTCTGGAAACTAGGCACGAAGGGCTACAACTTTTGGTTTTAAATCATCTCAAAATTCATTGCATATCAAAAGATATGAGTTCCAAAGTAGGACCACCGGAATGTTCTTCACCGCGGTCGCACACCATTTTGTGTTGTCCGCACAACACCTACCGCGGCCGCACTTCATTTTGTGCGGTTCGCACTGCACATACTGCGGCCGCACTTCTTTTTGTGTGGACCGCGTAGGTGAGTTCCGAGGTCTACAACCCTTCTGGACTTGCTACAGCTATGATTTTCGACCTAAAACATCCCGGAACCTACCCGGAACTCCCGGAACTTCAAACCAATTGTACCAACACATCCCATGACATCGTTCAAACTTGTTCAAAACTTCGGAACGCTCACAACAACATCAATCACCAATTTAACATAGGATTCAAGCCTAAGAACTCCAAGAACTCTTAAATTATGCTTTCGATCAAAAAGTCTATCAAATCTCGTCCGAATGACCTAAAATTTTGCACACACATCCCAAATGACACAACGAAGCTACTGTCACTCTCGGAATTCCATTCTGACCCCTATATCAAAATCTAGCCTATCAACCGGAACCGCAAAAATATCAACTTCGCCAATTTAAGCCTAAATCTTCTCTACAACTTCAAAACCCATTCCGATCGCGCTCCTAAGTCACAAATCACCTCCCGAAGCTAACCGAACCATCGAAACTCACTTCCGAGCCTTCTAACATATAAGTCAACATCCGGTTGACTTTTCCAACTTAAGCTTTCTTAAAAGACACTAAGTGTCTCATTTCTTACCAAATCCTCTCCGAACTCGAACTAATCAACCCAATCATATAAAACACGAATAATGAAGTGTAAAGAAGCTAAAATAGGGAAAAACGGAGAGGTAACTCATGAGACGACTGGTCGGGTCGTCACATGTTCACTAATGAAATCTTCTGACTAACATTTATCATCCTATGATAATCGTTAATGCTAACATTAAAAAATACAATGATAGACACATTTCAAACTTCTTTGCATATCTTTATACCCCTAACAACCGTACGATCAACATTCCCTTGTATCAATGGTGTAATTTACCTACCCCTAAGTACAAAGACGAAAACTAAACAAAATTTAGAGAATCTCTCCTGCCGCAATTCCAGCAAAGCTTATTTAAACTTCACAAACAAGTTGGTCCTAATCTTGTACCATCCAGAAGTCCTTACACTATGTGCTAAGCTGCTGACAAAGCATACTTGAGAGGGGAAGGAGATACCACAAGCAAATGATGTCATCTTCAATATCCTATTTTCCGGAGCAATATGAAGCAAACAGGGTAAATTTTTCACAGTAACGGTAAGAAGCTTAATAGAGAAAGTTACTTAACCGCAATAGTGGGACCTTTTCTTCCTCCCATGTGTCATGAAATAAAAAGGCAAAAGGAAAAGGGATCTATAGAAAAATATTTGATACTCTAAAAGATCTAATTATGTACCCTGCAATTTAGGAACCTAATATAGAGTTACAGACTACATATTGAACTTATCAATATGATCAATTAACAGTAAGGGTAATTGCCTTCAAGCAAATCTTAAGAATATTTAGCAGCAGCCTAATTAACACAATAATGAACCTACTATCGTCAATCTACTTTTGAGTCTGTAACTAAATAGATGCAATTCATTAATTATTTCCCTTCACCGTTGGTCTAAATTGATAAGTTTGTCTTGAATTCATCAATGAGCCAAGAGGAAGTCATCCTAGCACTTGAGTTTATAGCGTCCCTTCATCAAGCACACCTAGTCTACTGGTTTATTGTTTGCTATATGAATCTTACTTGATCGCTCAATTCTTTTGTTTTTCAATTAGTGATCCTCATGTTGAGCATTTAAATGAAATATCTTTACATAAAATAAAAAGTTGCCACTCTTTCTAGCCAATTGTTCATAAAAGATCAAAATAAATACTCTAATAGATAGTCAAACATACTCTAAATATTGGGAAAAGAACACTCTAACAAGCTTATAAAAACTTTCACCATCTAATAAATGTATAAAACATAATTGATGGTTTTCAAATTTAGCATGCAACATATATAGTAGGACAATCCTAGATTCTAGTGTTTAATGAGTCATTCGCGCTAACTGAGAGCAAAAAAATTGAGCTCATGTCTCAACAATAATTAGGAGTGAACAAATTTAGAACTAATAGTGTATGCCCCAAAAGCATGGTGTATACCATTTAACCCTAAATCAATATTTGATGCTATTAATTCTCTAGAATCTAATCACGAAAAAGATCTTATCTTGTATTCAGAAAGTGCATATACTATCATTTGGAACTCTCCAATTCCATAGTTAGTTTGGTCGCTTCTCAATATTCAAGAAAAGCCTTATGAATTTTTGTATCTACTCCTTTGATTATAGTTAGTTACTAAATATATTCTACCTTCTTATCTTCTAAATCACAGATGTCATGAAGCCAACATATCGTTAATTACTTTTCACAGTTAATGAATCTGAACTAAGATATAGTGATGAAGTTTCCACATATACATCTTCAAGCATTATAATTCTTGAATCGAGAGGGTCTCTTGGAAGTGACAATACCTACCATTCGGAATATCAACATAACAAAAAAAAGGCTTAGAAGACATCAAATAGAAGAACAATATAACTACCGAAACAAGAAAAACTAAGTATGATTAGAGGTAGAATTTTAATAACCTTAAACTTCTTCTCTAGCTGGTCGATTTGTTTTATCAAGGCTTTAATTTAATAATTTATCATCTCAGTTATCTCCTCATCAATGCCTTCTTCTTTAACTAAAGCTGGAAAGAAGAAAAAATTTGTAACATACATGTAAAAACTACCATAAAATATTAGTAGTATGATGGAAGCGATGGAGAACGAGAAACTGGCAATATAATTATTTGGTTTCTGAAAAATGTTCAAGAGTATCACAAAAAATGGATGATAACCTTTTTTTGTTCCAATTGCTTCTATCAATCCTTGAATTTTTTGTTCTATTCGTTCCAGAGCCGATTTTGTGCAGAATTTGACGTTATTTTTTATGCTAGATTGTTCTTCAACCAGTAAATGATTAATATATGTACTTAGTTTTAGCTTGATAAATTGATTTCTCATCTTTCTATGTAGTATGACGATATCGACATTCCTATTAATGGGTTAATTAAAACAGAATATCACAGTAAGCCATGGTATAAGATGCAGCAAAAAATAACTGGTATTACTTCTCTAACCATCCTATGTACAGAAGAGAGAGTATAAAACTATAAATTACCAACAAAAACAAGAAAAGTGAAAGTATACTTACTAAGTATGTTTTAACATAGTTCTTGCTAACTTTTCCAATGCCCAAAAAAATAAACATGACATCTGAAATCTAAGAAAATACTCAAAGTGGATAACTTTTCTTCGGCAAAAAAAATATATAAATTACGTCAAAGTCGACTACAATAGCTCAATAGCACCATTTTACCAACGTCGACAACTTTTTATTTGATCAATTTCCAGTCGTTTTACGGATAGTACATACCAGTAGATGATATTTATCTTCCACATGGGTGCCCGTAATGGGGAGAAGCAGCTTTGCGTGTCTGGACAAGTTTCACCGTGCTAGCGGCATGTCCATACTCGTCATGATGCCAATGGTTTCCTCTGCACCGCAATAAAAAAACCAGAACCCAACAATTTCACAAGTGAAAATGGAAAAAGTAGCGAAATCAAAGAACCCAATAGTGAACTGAACGCCGGAAGGCAGGAATTACAAAAGGCGAACATTACCGAAAACAATACACTTGTCAATTAATAAGGTCAAACACTTTTCAATATTTAATTCCAAAATTTCTAGATAGAAAGATAAGAAATTTACTGGCAACAGAAGAACTCCCAAATGTTAACTCAATATCTAACATTAAATGGGAAACCCATCGGAAGGAGAACTGAATCTTGAAAATTTAATGATCTTTACTACCAAAATTTTATGAGACGAATGCTATAGGAGAGTCTTGGGAGATAAAAGCTGCAAGTGTAAAGAGAAATTGACCTGGGAAGAAGAGACAAGTGATGTGTACAAGAAGGGCACACAAGTAATTTACGTGCCAGCTTTTAACTCAAGGGGCACGCGTCATATTGTGGAATAAGATTTTTTGTCAATTAATGTCAAAATAATTCCATTTTTGCATATCTGTCAATTAATTATATAGCCCATAGGATGAAATTCTACTTTTACCCCGGGAAGCAGGACAACGAAGTCCTGCTTACTCCCGTTTCTAAATAGTAAGTAAAGTAATACTGCTTGGTTTTGGGTGAATCATAATATTTAATAAGTATTATATCAGATCTATTTTGGCTAATCACATTGTCACGATCCAAAATCCACTAAGGATCGTGATGGCGCCGGACACCACTGTCAGGCAAGCCAACAATAATTTACTAGCAATTTCTCATTTCATTTATTTTGAAATCATTTCCTTTAAACAACTGAATATAATAATAATAATAATAAACTCCACTGAATAAATGAGATTTTCTTTACAAAATTTAACTACTGAAAAATCCCGTGATCCTCCCAGAACCCGGTGTCACAAGTGCATGAGCATATACCAGTGAATGAAATAAAATACAGTGACTGTCTGGAATAAAAGTGGACAGAAATGAAAATACAATACAATACTCCGAAGGAGACTCTGCTGGCTACGGACGTCTCGATAAATGCAACTCACCTAAGTCTCCGTATCAACCATGCTGCTATGCCACTTATAAACCTGTGCAACAAAAATGCACATCAAGTGTAGTATGAATACAAAAACAACGTGTACCCAATGAGTATCCCGTCTAATCTTGAAAAAGTAGAAACGTGAGGTCGACTTCGACACTTACTAGTGGTCCAATAATGATACGTCCGTAATATGATAAATCGGGGATTTATATAAATAGGATTTGTAATTCAAAAGGATGAAACATGTAAGCAATTCTTTCTTTTATGCGAAATTTTCAAATTTCCTTTTTCATCATTTATACACATATTCCCAAGCTGGGAAGGGGCAATAACAACTTCAATAAGTTTCAAGGCAAGCAATACAAGCATACGCAAATCATGCCGAGGACGTACGACCCGATCCAATAATATTTAAACTGTGCACTGCCAGAGGGTCGAATGGCGCGAACCATAGATGCATCTATTTAATCTGTCGAGGTGTTCGGCCCGTTCCATAATTTAAACACGCACAGACAATCAATCAAGAAGTCATCAGGAAATAATTATCCAAAGAAAACCAATTCTCTTTTAACAATTCAGAAAAATGAAGTTTAATTCTTTTTAGAAATCCATTTACCAATTCGATAGGATTTAAGCAATCAACTGTCAATAAGGTTACATATATTCCAAGTATAGCATGCGTTTGGGTCCTAGACTACCCGGACAATAGCATAATAGTAACTACGCATGGACTCTCCTCACCTTGTGCGTACGTAGCCCCCGCAAATAGGAGCACATAACCAATTATTTCACCTATGGGGACAATTCCCTCTTACAAAGTTAGAAAGGAGCCTCACCTCACTCCGAAGCCTATATTTTGATTCAAGAACGTGCTCAAACCTCCAATTTGGAGCCGAATGATCCAAAACTATTCAAATAGGGTAAGAACTAGTCAATACATGCTCAAAAGTTCATATTCTAATTATTAAACAAATTTTCCAACCCTAAATGCAAGGTTCCTAAAATTCATTCCCCGGGCCCACATGCCCGGATTCCGAAATTTTCCGAAGGAAGTTGTTCTCTATAACCTAAGGATCAATAATATATGATTTCTAATCCATTTCGTAACCAATTTCGTGGTAAAATCTAAGTTTTATTAAAACTGTAGGTCTAGATCTAACCCCTTGATTTCTCAAAATCATTAGGTGTTAATCCATCCAAAACTCGAGTGTTAAACTTAAAAATAAGGGGGATGAACTTACCTCACGTAGTTATGTGGAAATCCCTTCTCAAGAGCTCCAAAATCGCTCAATACCCGAGTGCCAAATGGACAAAAATGGCTGGAGCTCGACTTAAATGAAGCTGGCTGCTTCAGCAGTTTCTGCATTTGTGGTCAGGGGACCGCATCTGCGATCCCGCATCTGCAAAGGGAGGTCGCATCTGCGGAATTGGCTAAAAGGGTTGGGACCGCTACTACGGTCTTGAAGATGCATCTGCGAAGCCGCTTCTGCGGTTTGGCCTGGCCAACTCTGGGACGCATCTGCGAGGCTACGACCGCTTCTGCGGTCTCGCACCTGCGGTCGACCAACCACAGGTGCAGTTATGACAGAAGCAGATGCTTCAGCACTTCTCCAAATTCTATTTTTGTTCCGTTAACCAACCGAAATCCAGCCAAGGCCCCGGGACCCCAACCAATCATACCAACCAGTCCCAAAATATGTTACGGACTTGCTCGAGGCCTCAAATCATATCAAACAATGCTAAAATCATGAATCAACCTCCAATCCAAGCTTAATGAACTTTAGAACTTCAAACTTCTATATTCGATGCCGAAACATACCAAATCACGTCCGATTGACCTCAATTTTTGCACACAAGTCATATTCGATATTACGGACCTACTCCAACTTTCGGAATCGGATTCCGACCCCGATATCAAAAAGTCAACTCTCGGTCAAACTTCTCAACAACCTTAAAATTTCTATCTTTAGCCAAATGACTTCAAAATGACCTACGGACCTCCGATTCACTTCCGATCATGCTCCCAACTCCAGAATAACCATCCGGAGCTATTCCCATAATCGAAATCCCAAACGGACATCGATAACACTGAAATGCACTTCAACTCAAACTTATGAAATTCCTTTAAAAGTGCTAACTTCCACAATAGGTGCCGAAACATTCCCGGGTCTTCCAAAACTCGGTCCGGACATACGCCCAAGTCCGAAATCAGCATACGAACCTGCTGGAGCCTTCGAATCCCGATTCCGAGGTTGTTTACTCAAAAATCCAACCTTAGTCAATTCTTTCAACTTAAAGTTTCCGAAATGAGAATTCTCTTTCCAAATCAACTCCGAACTTCCCGGAATTCAATTCCGACCGTACGCGCAAGTCATAATACCTGAAGTGAAGCTGCTCATGGCCTCAAACTGCTGAACGACGTGCTAAAGCTCAAAATGACCGATCGGGTTGTTACATTCTCTCCCACTTAAACATACGTTCGTCCTCAAACGTGCTGAGAACTACACTAAAGTAGTCTGAAATCACTGTTTAACACCTCGAGCACCTACCCGTGCTACAATAACTCAGTTGGGCGCCCTTGCTCGGTCAATCTGAAGATATATTTTTTTACTTAAGCAAATAAGCCTTAGAGCCCAATTCCAATATTCAAAATTCTCTGTCAGGCCTGTTCCAACATACTCTCACCGTATCAATAGCTACACGCAACACCAAAACATGACTGCATACCTTAGCTGAATTCCCACCTTGCACCACTTTACTCACAGGACCACAATAACATTCTCTGATTGAATTAGTTGAAATTTCACGTATCTGATGCCCCCATTGCACCTCATGACCTACATAAGTCTTGCTCTAACTCTTACAATGCTGCCAAGATGGAAGAGATGTGTAGAAATTCATAACTGTTACAACCCATATCCGCATGTGTTAGTTCATGCCATATATTAGTTAACATAAATCCAAGAAGGAATTATCTTTGAGATGATAAGAAGCCAATCCTATTGGTCTTAAGTGATACAAGAGTGTATAAGGGTGATTAACCAATATTAGAAGTTAAACGAATCAAGGATGTTGTAACTCGTATTTTCAGGTAATCTAGCGGTGCTTAATACACTCAAGAGGTCATTTATTAAGGTATTTTAATCATATAATATCCGTATCATAAGTCTTGAAGTCAAACGAGTTATGAAACAAAAGTCGACAAAAGTTGTCGCAACTTAGGTTCATAAT